AAAAAAATTAAAAAAAAAAAAAAAAAGAGAGAGAGAAGAAAAAAAGAAAAAGAAACCATAATCACATAGCAGATTCAAGTAAACCAAAATAAAAATAATAAGAGAAATAAACAGAAAAAAGAAAACAATAATTACATAGAAACAGATTCAAGTAAACCAAAACCACTCCAAAGTAAAACATATATTTATAACCTCGCCTGAAGGAGGCAATGGAGAGTTGAAATCGCTGAGGAGATAACGGTAAAATCCTTCAAGATGAATCCCACGAGGGTGAAAAACGCCGTGATGTTTGAGCCTATGGAAAATATCCTTCACGTAGTTTGAATCAGCGTGTTTTTCTCCTTGAACTTGGATCACGAACCTGAGCATCTCATCTACAGACATCCTGCCATCTCCGGAGTAGTTGTCGAAAAGGGTTTTGATTTCTTGGGGTGGCTCACTTGTTTTCACTTTGAAGCTTCTTACACAACAGAAACACACTTTGAATGATTCCTTCATGTTTTTTTTTTTGTTTTCTTGTGGAAGTTTAACCAGATAGGAAAGAAACAGAGGGAGAGATGATGATGTCTAAAACAAAGGAGAGAGAGAGGTGATGATATTGCAAGAAGAAGAAGAAAGAGACAGACTTTATATGTTTGTACAATAATTATCACTTGTCTGAGAAAAAGAGCTGGTCATAGCACAAAATTGTAATTTCTTTGTTTTTAATAAATAGTATTTTAGGATTGTGCACATAAAATTGTGCACATCTGATAAAAATAACATTATTATTAATCGAACTACAGTATAAAATATAAGATATATTTTTAATGATTATATAATATTAACTGTTAGTAAATTTTGCATATAAAATTTATCTAATTTGGAGCAATTTTCTTTTTAATCTTAAATATTAAAAAGGGGAGGAAGTAGTATTGTAAAAATAAATTAAAATTTTAGTGTGAGATATGATGTGTCAGATGTCTGAACTGAAGTTAGTATTTAAAGCCAAACAGACTCGTTGACTAAAGACAGACAGTTGACAAAAGGTTTAAAAATGAGGTGGTACAGTGTAGAGCCAATGGCTGAGAAACTGGTGTTATGCTGGTCACTAATTAGTCGTTATCATAGTATAATAAAACATGAATGATTTGCATAATAAGACATCTTATGGACTTTTTCTTAGTTTTCGGTGGATTCTTGCGGCGTGATTTCATGCATTGACTTCTCTCTAGCGGCACATGCAGCGGCGCAACGGTGTCACTCAGTCCTGTCCATCACACGTGTATCATGCAGCGGTGTGACAGTGGCATAAATTCTTAGTCATAGCTAGGGATCTTGTTCTCTAAATCAACTGAGAGATGATCTCCTAAAAGACATACTCGTTTTGATGCGAAATTGATATACATTCTATGCAACTTTTGGTGCTAAACACATCGACAAACATTTATTTACGTAAGTAATATTATGTGTATCGCCAATTTGAGTAGCCAAGTTTTCTAGTATACTTCCTAGACTAGAAGAGTTACAATTTATAATAAGCATGTCAAAATAAGTTACATTTTTAATAGTTTTCAACTTAGTATATGACTAATTTATTATATTCACTTAGATTCATTTCCAGTAAATTGAGGTAAAAAAGCTGAATATGGTTTCATCTCCTCCATAACTAGTAACATAATCAAGTTAGAAGGTGAGTATGATCATAAGCAAAGTAAAAAGTGAGACGTGCTAAACTGAGCCCATCTATTAGTTAACAAGGCACGAGATGGATTTAAAAAGACCCATTTGAAAAGCCCAAATCATACATTTATTTTTATATATACACAATTCACACTATTAGATTCGATTCAAAAGACAATACCAAAAATTGAGACACATACGATACTCTCTAAGTTTTGTTAGAATCTAACTGTTGTTGTCTTGGTTGCCGTAGAAGCTCAATCAATGCCTCCGCTTTTTACTTAGCTTGACCTTTAGTACCATGTTAACTTTGGGTTTATTATAGACTTCCAACTTAAAACCAATTGGTAATTAGTGGATTGGTCCAATTCCCTTATATATTACTTATGTCCCATTCATATTTCCGATGTGGGATCTTTAATCCCAACATACTCTGCGACATAGCCACAACCGGAGGAATCCTCCTTCACGAGCCACCATGGTTCGCTACACCCACACTGTCCTCACAAAGCTGCAGCAATACATCACACACATCTCTTTCTGTCTCTGTGTTCAGACCTCCACAAATCAACTAAATATTCAGATTAATCCCAATTGTTTTTGTTCCATTTTTGTGCCAATAAATTTTATCTTCGTCGCCAAAGAGAATATTCGAGTGGAGGGAGATATGTGTTTTGAAGAGAAAACTCATATATATACAAATAAAAAAACAAAAAGTAATGCTATATAATTCAGAAGAATTGATATAATATAGATGTCAAATAGACTCGTACTTATTATTACTTAGAAGATGAATACATACTTCATTATTCTTAGGTATACCCCAAAGTTAAAAAAAAAAACAAATGACTTAATGCACAAGGCACACAAAAAAATACAGCTTCATAAATAGTTAAATACTAGTCCTTAAAGAAGAAGAAAAATACGTTATTTAGTTCACCTAATTAAAGACGTTTTCTTGTCTTTTTTTTGCTAAAATCAACCTTTCGTCCAGCGATGAACTTCGTTGGTCCGTTTCTTATTATGCACTAAGGTAGCACCTGTAAGATCAACAATATATTCGCGTGTCTGACCACATCGAGCAAAGTTGGCTCCTCTATATGCGTGCCATATCATCATATAACCCTTATTCTTCGGATCCCTTAGTTCACATTTCCAAACAATTCTTTTTCTCCCTTCCTCCTGAACCCGAGTGCTGTATACTTTATTGAATTCTACAGGAGAAGATTGAACTGTTTTTTCGTCTCTGTTGGTCCAGCATTTGACCTGGAGTATAGTATCAGGTCCAAGTTGGTTTCTAACTATTAAAAAGTTTGGATTGCATCCACCATAACCCTCTTTAAAACAAAAACAGATAGCAATAACTAACACACAAATAGTGAGATGATTCATCTTTGGATATGAAGACTCAGAGACACCCATACTGTAGTATTTATACTTCTTCCTTTGTGATAAATAAGGTAATAGGCTAAATATAGACACTCAAGTATTGACCAACTTAACTTATGGTCGGATGAACATTCGGTGTCGAAAAATAAGGTAATTCCATAAGATCAAATCAAAATAAATTAAATCTGCAAATTAATGTTGACCACTATAACTAACCAAAATCTAATATTGTAGGAAAAATATGCAAAGGATTAATAGAATGTATTTCATATGTTGTCTGCAGCTTACGTTCTATGCAAAAAGAGTTTTATATAATGCTTCGTAAACAATATGCTAACGTTCAGAGAAGTAGTCTTGGCAACCATTAAAAGTGAATATTATATAGCCGTTGTAATTTTGAATGAAGATAAGATACATAATAAACAGACAACATGTATAATACGTGAGCCAAAAAATTGTTGTTTTCAGACAAAGTCGAAGCGCATAAGAAGCCGTGTGCAGCTATACTTCACTCCCTTTCGGTTAAAGAGTGGAACAGCTCGTATGCCTTGTCTTAACTCGGACACAGGTAAACAAGTCTGACCTCCAAAGTCGTCTTTTTCATTTGAGTCGTACTCATGCACTTCAACACGGAGCAGAGCAAGTTCAGGAACAGTTAGCTTGAATGTGAACTCTTGGTTCCATATGGGTGTCCATGTATCATACTTTACTTCTGTTTTCTCCATCGTTTCATCAGCAGGTGCTCCAGCGATACCTACCTGTATTTGATTAAAAAGTTCTTTAGTTCCTGTTCAAGAATCAAGATTTGAAGTAGAGACATACTCTAACGTAGAAGTCTGGAGGAGAGTAGAGATCAAAGTGAGTTTTCTTGAAGTCAAGGTGCCATCCATCTCCCATAAGGACTTTCACCTGCCATTGTTAGATGTTAAGCATATAATGAGAAGGAACTAACGGTATAAGTAAACCAACCTTTAATGTTTTCTTTGGAGAAGAGTTTTCGTTGGGATCAAAAACTTGACCATTAGGACCTACATTCATTAGAAAATCTGGTTTCTTGACATAACCACAACCTCCATTCGCTCGAAACATTCCTTGCATCAACCACAATGCTCTTCCATACCCCTGCACAAGTATTATTTAGCTTCACAACGGTTACAAGAAACCTATATGACTGATACAAGAAAATGAAAGTTTGAGAGAAACCTGCATGTTGAATGCAATCATTTGAGCTCCACTCATCCAACCAATCTGTGGTTTATAGTTTGAAGAGTTAAACCTTGTGCCTTTAGGGTATATCCTCAGAAAGTTCTTCTGTGTGAATCTGCTCATATTGTGAGATTTTAAATATACTAACTTGAAATGGTACAAGCAAATAATACATTATATACCTTATAACATCTGCACCATATGATGCAACAGCTTTCTCAAGTAATTGCTCACTCAGGCTAAGTCTCCTGATTTTGTTTGGATCAACCTTTAAAGCCATCCTTAAACCACCCTTTGGCTTCCCTGCATGAATGGCAATAAGGCGTTTGTATTCTGGTGCTTGTAACGGACATGAAGTATCAAAATCACGAGAACCCCTCTCTTCCTCATCTTGACTGATATAACTTATATGAGTTGAAACCTGAAACCAATACAGTCAAAATCTAATGCATTTGGATGGTAAGAGTATGGTGCTTGGTGGTGGAGAGAAAGTACAAAACCTTCTCTAGTTCAGATCGAGTAGAAATAAGTTCTTCTGGCTCCTTGCCCCATACATCCTCGTCTGAATCCTTCTCTTTCTCCTTGGCATCGTTAGCTTCTAAGTACTCCTTTGGTGGTTTTGTTGATATTAGAATCTTTCCCTTCAACTCTTCTGGTGAAGGAAACTCTTTGCAACTTTCAGATTCATGGTAATACAACATATCTCCAAATGTTTGAGTTATCATCTGCAAACATAGCAGTCTTCATATAAAATTCATGACTATAAAATCTATATAGTAATAGGGCCCTGGCCATTGTGTCAGAGGTCCCTAGTTCAAGTAACCGCTGAGACGAAACTAATATTACACGCTATGGTTTCAAAAAAAAAAAAAAAAGAAGAAGGAAAACATACTTTGGCAACTTTAGATTGAAGCTTAGGAGTAAGATGGTCTTCAAGAGTAATAATGACAGGATACTTTGAAGTAGCAAAGGCATTAGCCTTAATAGATTCCAAACACTTCCCAAGTTTCACTGGTTTGGTCAAGGTCCTGCCATTTTGATCCAACATGAACAATAAGGTCAAAGGAAACACATGCATATTAACTAAAGTGACATTTATACCTTCCATGATTAACACAGACATCATCGTTACCACGTGGCCATAGATCCAACTCAACCACTCTCACACCTCGTCTCAATGCATCTGCAATGGGAAGGTCACTACAGTTGCTACTGAGCTGGTTTCCGGTTAAGTAGGAGTTGTGGCCTGTGAATATAAAGTAATGAGACAGTGGAGCATCCATGTTCTGATTGACCTGAAATAAAGAATGTAAAAAGAAAACACCTAACAGTAAATATCAGTGTTCTAAAAATCGGTTTAGATAGGCCTATGACGCCTAGACCGCCCTTTGGTTCTTAACGATTTTTTCCAACGGATTAATTAAAAATTTGGTTTAGGCGTTCAAAAAATCGGTCTATGAAGACGCCTAACCACTACATAACAATTTCTCGAACATTGATTAAACTTAAACCATAATATGAAATTCACTGAAGAATTAATAGATCTTCAGAAGTAAACAACTCCCAGAATAGAAATTTTCTAAATTTAGAAATGTGTATCAAACTATCACAAATTCAATCGAAAAATCAACACTTTCTGCCCATTTCTCTCAATTTCCCAGGAGAAGAAATAAAAAACAGAGTTGACTTCAGAAACAGAGCTCTAACCTTGTCACCAATGGGAGGATTGAGTTCAGTGGAAAAGAGAAGATAATTGAAATCCTCAAGAGTGAGGTTTCGTCTCGTGAACTTTGCAATGTGATGTTTACGGCGAAGCACCTCGTCAACGATCCTCTCCGCTTCCTCTAGACTCGATCCTCCTTCACCTCCTTCTCCTGTTTCATCGGCTATGAGTTTTTGTAGCTGCTCGGGGGACATGTGAGCGTCCCCTTCCGTGTATTTCTGGAAGACATGTCTGACGTCATCAACAGGATCTGGCTCAGTGACCCTGAACTTCCTCGTGAAGACAAGACACATTCTGTAACTACCCATCTCTGTTGGATTCTGAATGAATGAAGTTTGTCTCTGTTTTAGATCGGAGAAGGTGAAAAGTTGATTGATACCTTTACTGCGTCTACTTAAATAAGCAGATTATTCCTGCATTTAATGTTTTTCTTTTCTTTTTTAGAAATTTATTACGAAAATATTTCGGAATATTTCCTCGTCAAACCTCAACACGCTCGCATCTGAACACAAGAAGACAAAAACAACGTAGTGAATCTCGTTTTGTCTGTAATAATTTTATTATCCTCGTTTAATTATGAGTAATTTAAAGGATTAAAAGTGTAAATCTGAGAGATATCGCCAGGTGTTAATCCCCTCCATAAACAACAAAGAATAAGAAATAAAGAAGATTACTTTTGTTTGGTTTCAGATTCTGTCAAGTGTGAATTTTGAAGAAAGAAAAACAGATTTCAGATATGTTCAAATAACAAGCCAACAAAAATAAGGTAGTGGCTATATATTGGTGGTGGGGGAGAGACAGATCTAAAGTGTTTTTGTTCTCTTCTATTTGTTTTTTTCTTATATCATATCCACACTATTTTTGAAGGGTATTATGTAGTTTTGTTTATAATAGTAAAGTTAAACACATAGGTTATCAGGCTTTTATCAATTGAAAAACAATTAAAAGATCTTTCTTGTATTATGATCTAGCTACAGAAAATATACATGAAGATTGTGCCAGGAAAGGTTGACAATATTTTATTATACAAGTGTCAAATATCATAATGTTAATAGAAACGTGCTTAGGTATATGATACTGACATTCTGTTAATTAAAGCCACTTAAGAACAGGTTAATCTTAGCTGGACAGGAGTAATGTGACATGCTTATCGGTTTGGTTTGAGCTTTGACTAAACATAAGAAAAGACTGTGTGTTTATAAACATAGATTCTATTTTCATTGAAGAAAAGTGATTACTAATGTTCTAAATAAAAAATTGTAAAACGAAAATTTTTAAAATATTATCAGTTATCATATCACCACAATAAAACACAAATATCATGATATCAAACTGTCAATCATTTATCAATCAAGTACCAAGTACAATTGTTACCGACATGCCAGGTGAGTAATACATTAATGGGTCTTAAGAATAGTTAAATAGCCCATTTATTAATAAAGCCCGAGGCCCTGCTTACGCTATTAAAACTTGTATCCGGCCAACAAGCCACGTGGTGACATCTTATTGGATACCTACGTTTTCTTTTTATGCGAAGGTGTTAGAAGCTTGACCAAAACAGAAACTACGGTGAGAAAAACACATTTTCAGGGTGCGAGTAGCGAGCTACAGTGTACATTTATGGATTCTATGGACTATTCTTCTGGGAAATTTAAGCTCTATTCAGGTACATTTATGAGCTTTTTGCTTCTCATTATTCGATCAACTGCAGTAAACATGTTGTATTGACTTTTGTGTTTAAATTACTATGACCTTTATGTCCGTGTCAGAAGACAGGAGTTGTGTGTCTAACCTATTCTCAGTACATATCAGTCAAGTAACAAGGTCTTCGAACTTTGCCTTATTGGTTATGCTTTTGTCGCGTTCTTCTCTCAAATAGAAGTTCACGAAAATGTACATACCGTTTGTGTCAGCCAAAGTGTTTCATATCTCTTAAGTAGCGTGAAAATAGAAAAATGAGTTATATTAAGGAAGCGGGGTTTTGCTTACCATTTACTTAAACACACAGAGCTAGCATGGATATAGACAGAGACATAGTTTTAAGATCAAAAGCTAAAACATGAGTTTTAATTTAGTTATATCTTACTCAGAGTCACTCTCTGTGTCTAAGAAACTAAACTCTCTACTACGTCCCTCAAGCTTGATCAGTAATGTCCCTTTGTTCTCTTCACAATACCTAACTCCTTCCCTTTCTAGCAGCATTGTCACCTGATCATCAATAACCATTGTACCTTAACTGCGATACTAAATTCTTGGGTTTGTGCACACAATCAATTGCGTGCATTGATTCTAGAGTTTGCATACCATTCAGTTCATATGTGAAAGGGTGGTGAAGAAACTTACCGATTGTTTCACTTTCGACTTCCCAAACCCATGAGACCCACATCCTGTGATCACTCGTAGTGTCTGAATAGCTGGTTCATTTCACAATTGTTAGGAGAGGAAGGGAACAACTCAGGTTTTATGAAGACAAGACAATCTTTTACAGAAGAGTTTATTTTGTGAGTACACTTACAAGGGACATATGATCCGAGTAAGAGATGCATCTTCAATAGCTTCATTGCTTGTTTAACGTGCTGACCATGCAGATCAATGGTTATCACATTCTCTATACCCTTGTTTCTGCATTAATATAGATGCAACAATGTCTTAGTCCACAACAAAATGAAAGCGTATCAGCATTAACTCCTACAATGCCTTAAAACTAGCTAACCTGGCAACGAATATATCTTGGCTTGCTCTCTCATCTGCCCGTTGAGCTAATTTAGATGCTACTCTCCCCTAAAGAATAAGGACACAAGATTATATCTCACTTCCAAAAAAGTTGCATTAATAGCATGAAACATAATAGACCATGAGATGCACCTTGTCAGAAAGGTACGCCGCATGAGCCCTCCCTCCTTTTGAATATGCTTCTGCAGCCTTTAAGTTAGAAATGCATTAGTTGTTATTTTGTTAGGGAGTCCGCAAGTGCTAGATATGGAAAAACAAGTAAAACTAACTTTTTGATAGTAGGACTTCGTCACATTCCACTGGTCATTTGCACCTTTTCTAAGTTCATGATATCCGTCATCCTTCGCTGCATATATAGATTCATTGTTAATGCAACTTGTGATTAAGAAACACAAACAAGCAGTCGAAACCTCAGATGTTTTTTGCCAATGATACCATAGCAAAATTGCCAAGTGTTTCATCGGGTAAACAACATACATCAGAAGCTTGGAGCCTTCAAACTCATGGCATGATCAGCCTGCGATTTGCAGCCAAACACGCATATACTAAAAAAACGAAACCATAGTAAGATACCTAAAGTATCAGGCTGAGACCCTTCTCCACTAGATGAATAAGAACCATCAATGCCAAGCGACTGCATTTTCTTTGCCACATTTCTCCAATTCATCGCCTTTGGTTCGTGTTTAGGACTCCGGGGAATGTTGAACAGAGACTCCAACACCTTTTGTGGAAGACAAGGCTCAGAACTTCCTTGGCTAGTTGCAAAAGGATCTGCAGAACTTCCTTGGCAAGTGGCGAAAGGATCTGCAGAACTCATGAGAGCTTTTGAGTAATCCCTACCATGAGCAAAAAACAAACCATATTCTTAGTTCCAAAATGTTGAACAAAAGCAATTATATTGAATATTTTAGCTGTCTCAGATGTAATTTTTAAACATGGTATGTTTCATGAACTGAACCCTCCACCGTGAAATAGTTCCTCTCTTGTGCTTTTGTAGAAGATGAAAAGACAAAAAAAAAATAGGATGACCAAAGAAAAGTTGCAAGGAAGTAGTTATGCTGTAGCAATGTGTGAACAAAGTCCAATAGTTTTAAAACAAGTGAACCAGAACAAGGCCTAAGAAGCAATAACAGAAGCAATAACCTTTGACTATAGCCTCCCCAGAAACTTGGTTCACTTTCGGAAGTATCAATGTCGTCAAATGATGTCTCAGCAAGCTGCTAAGTATATCAGGAGATTGCACTTTATTCTATCGTGTAGAAATATATAATAAACAGATATGTGAGAGAAAAAAAAAACTAATCACTTACACTATCACTGAGTCCTATGCCGGAACATCTACCACTCAATGAATCATCAGTTGATGAAGAAGACATGTCAAGCAAGACATTCAAGGCCTAAGAAGAAAAGAATATCAAGCTTAAAAATAAACAGCCGGGCCAATATCAGCATCTTTCCTGTCAAGACACCAATACTGCCCCATGTAAGTTTGAAGACAATCCACTTACCATGTCCACATCGTAGCCACATTGACCTGCAAAGAAAAAAAGAGAAAGACTTTCATGTCAATTTTATCGAATAATCAAGTTCAGTTTTAAAGCTATTTCTATATCAAAGCAGTGATGATCATAGCACTTCCGCAATGTTAAACGTACGAAGCAACTGAAGAGAAAACATATAAAACCATTGCTCTAAACTCGGTTTAGATGGCTTAGACCATCTCCAATGGTGCTTTATAATTTTTTCTATATTTCACTCTAAAATAGTGTAACTTTATAATAGAGTTGGATTTGCTCCGATGGTTTACTCTATAATAGAGTTAACACTATAGTAGAGTAGGATATAGAGGAATGTTGTTTTTTCACTCTATATTTGGAGTAGAAAAACAACATCCCTCTATATTTCACTATATTATAGTGTAACTCTATTATAGAGTAAACCATTGGAGCAAATCTAACTCTATAATAGAGTTGCACTATTTTAGAGTAAAAATTATAAAGTATCATTGGAGATGCCCTTATAGGTAAATCAGGTCTGGACGAAACAACTTTTTCGATCTAGGCTTTATAAAAGTTAGGTTTAGGCGCCCGCCTAAACAATAATCCTCTGTAAGATCCCTAACGACCGCCTAACGATTTCTTGAACTTAAACAATAATCCTCTGTAAGGTCCCTAACGACCGCCTAACGATTTCTTGAACCTAAACAATAATCTCTCTGTAAGTTCCCTAGCCAACGCCTAATCATTTCCTGAATCTAAACAAGAATCCTCTGTAAGGTCCCTAACCACAGCCTAACGATTTATTGAACCTAAACAATAATCCTCTGTAAGAATCCTCAATAAGGTCCCTAACCACCACCTAACGATTTCTTGAACCTAAACAATAATACTCTGTAAGAATCCTCTGTAAGGTCCCTAACCACCGCCTAACGATTTGTTGAACCTAAACAATAATACTCTGTAAGGTCTGAACTAAACATTTTTAAAAAAAATCCTTGTATGCATTCAAAAGATAGGTAGTCTAGGCGTCTAACCGCCTAACTACCGCCTAGCGATTTCTTGAACATTGTTAATTAAACTAATTGAAAAAGAAGAATACTCACACAATACATCTCTAACAACAGCCATGCTAAGCTCACAATCATCACCAAGCATTGAACTCAGAAACTGTTCAGCTTTCTCTCTATCCCCAGCCTTCTTCCCTTTCCCACATATCTCACTATTCCTTTCCACCAAAGGATACTCCCTCTCCCTAAGAGTATTAGGCTTCAAGTAATCCTTAGCAATCACAGAAGACACCATCCCCGTAGCAGCAACAACTCTATTCTGCTTACCTCCCTTAAACCACCTCTCTCTCGTCAAATCTTCCCCACAGCTCGAGCTTGAGCCCGCCCCGTACTCGGATGTAGACCCGGTCTCCTGACCCGAAGACCCGCTCGCGACCGAAATCGTCGACGGATCATCGTCCAACAGATTCGATAGAATCTCCGCGGCTTTGTTCAGATCTCCGCCTGATTCTCTATAAGCAGCCGTCGCTTCCTCCGTGGAGACCGAGCAGAAAGCTTCCATCAACGAATCGATATTTTGTTTTTCGAGTTTTTCTGGCTCAACGGCCTTTCTCTCTTCCTCTAAGTCTTTTTTGTTCCCGTCTGACGCCGTCGCCGTGGAAGGTGCGGCGGACGATCTCTTCTTCTTCCTCTTCTGCTGGCTCTTGTGCTTCATTATCACGACGAAATCGAATCAACGTGCAAAAAATCGGAATAAACTGAATCCCAAGTTTCCGACGAGAAGCGTCGGAGAGAGGGAAAGATGAATGGAGGCGAGAATCAGGATACAGGGAGATGCCAAATATCAGAGGAACTTCTTCGTCTTCCCGATTTGATTGGGAATTGGAATCGCCATTATCTATCACGCGCTTTATGTGTGTGCCCACGTTTTGCTTTCCACGCGCATCTCGAGAAGCAGACACGTTTCCCGGTTTGCTTAATGATTGCACATGCTTACCGGTTTCTTTCCCCGGTTTAAATGTGAACCAGTTGACTTTCCCAAAATTTGTTTTTTTTTGTCTGTGGGTTAATTAGAAAGTAATTTGACCAATCAAAGAGGGAAAACTACAAAAACACAAAGCTGATTTTTTTTTTTCTGATTTAATTCAATTTTCTGTTGCTTTGTAAATAATGTTATGTATTTGATGATTATCTTCACTAAACTAAAAAAGAAAATAAGATCGAAGTGGTGGAAGACCATATCTCAAAGAACAAGATGATTGGCTGGAGTTGAATATAAAGTTGTTCTTTTAGTTTGCTACATAAACAATACATATCAGTTTTAGCTGTCAAGATGACATAAGAGTGAGACTTTTCATCCTTGTTTTCACTTCACTCACAACAAGAAAAAATACAAAGCATGGCAGAGAAAAAATACACCAAATAGAAGTTCAAGAGAAGACCACACCAAAGCCGATAATGCCCTTAAAAAAAAAGCAAAGCAAAATCGCCCGGCCAAAGGCAAAAACAGGGCATACTACTAAAACATAGTTAAGTACCAAGAAACCTACCAAAAAAAAGTTAAAGAGTAAAAGTGAGTTAATACATATAGAACACCTTGTCCTGTTCTTCACCTTAAGCCTTTTTCTTGCGAGTAGATTTGGTTGTTTTGGCTTGAGACTTGATGTTTTTCCCTTTTGAGCTAAACATATCATCGTCATCGTCTTCATCATCACTACCACGCTTTTGTTTTTTTCCTTTCTTATTGCTGTCACCATAACAGATAACAATCTTCTTCTCCTTCTTCTCCTCAACAACCTCTGTTTTCTCCTGTGGTCGCCATATAAACAGCGACCTGCAAAAAATCAGATTTTAATAACTGCCACTCATCAAGATAGTTTTCATTAATGGTTATAAGAGTGTAACCTTGAACTTCCAGACGCTAAAACATCGTCCCGCGGATGCAATTTGTTTACTGGAGTAATAGTCGTTATGTTTGGATCCATGACCTCTGCAACCAACTGTCCATTGCTTGAATCAATGAAATCTATTGGGTGAAGAGCAGCTCCGTTGTAGTTTTCACTGATGTAACGACCAACCACAATGAGTGACTCCGAGGCATCCTGAAGATGAATAAAATGATAAGTGCTATAAAAGGAAACTCTTATAAATAAAGAGAGAAGTAAAAGTATCAAAAACCTTAGGATCCCATTCAGCTTTGAATGGTGTCAAATGCCTATTGAAATCATGGCTATGAACAATCTCTCGGCTTGGCAAATCCAAGTCCCCAAAGATAGAGTCCCATACTCGAACGCGGTTGTCCTGAGAGGTTGTGAGAATCTTTGTGCCTGATGATGGAGAGAAATAAGCAGAGTTGACTACTCGTTTGTGCGCAAGATCATTAAGGGACTCTCCAGGTTGTAGTTTACGCATGTCCCAGATTCTTGCCTGAAAAACCATAAACCAAACAAATCAATTAATCAACAAGTTCAGACAGAACTCAGCTAGATACTTAAAGATAGATTCTTACAAAATGATCGTTTCCACAGCTAAGAAGAAGCTCAGGGTGAACCGGGTTACAGTCAAGTCCAACAACTTTGCTACCTTTCTTGTGTATCAAAATCGGCTCACCAGTTACGTTATTAGACCGATGGTCAATCCTTTTCCCACAAAAAAAACACGAGAGACTAAGCAGTTAGCACTATAACAAATAGTTTACGAGGGTGAAAACCACTTACATGTGAAGCAACCCGAAATTATCAGCAGCAAGAACCAAACCTTTCTCCGAGTTTATATCCAAACCGTACAACATATTCCAAGTAGTTGGGCCCTATACACCAATGATGTTTCATATCATCAGAATGGTGCAAGAGAAGAAACAAATCAAAGAAGAGAGGCGATGGTGTAGGATTGGACCTGCCATCCATTGGGGTTGAGATTCAGCAAAGTTGATGAAGTTCCAGTTTCCAGATCAGTATAACCAAGTTTTCCATCAGAGGATGCAGAATAAACCATGTCATCATTTGTGGGACTAAACCTGGAAACATAGACACCTTGAATACACAGAAGTAATATCATAAGAGATGTCAATGAGTAAGGGACTTGCCGCATATTATTAACTTGTACAGAGTGTATGTTTCCGTACACACTCTTCTCATACACTTTAGCAAAATCCCAGACTCCAATTTGCCCTTTCTTTAAAATAAAAAAAACAATGAGAAAACAGAAGCAGAAAACTCGTAACATATGAACTTTTTGTTCAAGTTTTAAAACCTTATCTCCAGAGAGAAGAATGTTGTTCCTTGTTGGATGGAACTCCAAACATGTAACACGTCTACTGTGGTATCGAATAACTGCACAGTGCACTTGATCCGGGATCACATACGGTGGTTTAATCTATATATCAAAAATAAAACAGTCTAGTCAATAAATCTCATCACAAGCATCAACACACAGCATCATAGCCAGAAGTCTTTACCGGTGGAATTCTGGATTGGAGTTGACGCATGAACACAAAGTCTATAGGGTTCTTTGTATTCCTGTGAGAAGTTGGGAGTATCCCATGGTCAGTAACAACTCTATGGGGACATGACATTGTGGTGTGGCCTGAAGGTTTTGTAAAAGAGTGAAAAATATTAGTAAACATTAGTAAATTAGTAAATTAGTAAAAATAATTAAAGAGTGTATTTTTTTTTACCAGGCATTTTGCATAAGAAGCAAGGTTTCATAGGACAATCTATATAAGTTGCTCCTTTAAATCCAGCTTCATGACCTGGCTGTTTACAAACCTACAAAGAACAACAAAAAGTAAACAAAACAAGACCAAACACCAAAGTACTCTCTATCTCTGCATCTGAGTGAATAATTAAAATCCAAAGTAATTATCTTTACTTCCGCAAAGCCTACCCAAAACTAGAAATGTAACCATAAGAACTCAACACACACAAAAAAACTGAAAAATAGGGTTTTTAGAAAGAATGTTACTTTGCAAACTTTCTTGAGCTTAACGGTAATGGGTGCTTTCCCTTTTGCTTTACTCTTCTCCAATTCAATTTTGACCGGTTCATCTTCTTTCTCAGACTCCGACAAAGGGTAATCTTCTTCTTCTTCTTCAGACGCACTTGACTCGGAATCTGTATCTCTAGCAATGATGATTTCTGGCTCTTTTTTTCTTCTGTTCCTCGTTAAACCCATTCTTGCTTAAAAAAAAAGTAAAATCTCAGCACCCGGCAAAAGGAAGAGAATATGAATCAAACTGTTTTGTGTTTTGTCTTATTTTGGGTTCGATGACGACGTAGCCCCGGCGTAAATTAAAACCGGTCGAGTCGGCGAACAGTTAAAATTTATTCTACTCTGAAAAAAAAAACACTTCGTGACCCCCTTAATTTACGTTTCTACCCCTTCGTTTCGGCAATCCTATGTTTATCGGTAAGGGTACTGGTGGCATTGCCCTAAGGTGGCGGGAGAAGTTAATACGTGGCGAATTACAGGCCGGATGGAAAAACAACTCACGTGCCTCCCGTGTAATTTTAGCGATGGGCCCTTTTATTCTTATAACTAATGGGCTTTAAGAGCCGGTTTTAATTTCATCACATAGATCAAACTTGATTGCACAATTTGCACCACATATTTGTAGAAAATGTCAACTTTAGTGATTTAAATTAGCATTTTAAAGTGAAATTTGATCCTACAATTTATTTCATTAACTAAACTATATGACCCTGTAGAAACCCTCTTATCCAGTGGTTTGATTAAAGATTTATTCATGCTTTTACACACAAAAAATTAGAATTTAAATCTATAAAACACAAATTATTCAGATTATAGAGAAAAAAGGTTACAAGATCTTTAGCATGGTGCTAAGACATATCATCAAACATGGATTTCACAAAGCAGAATCGTCTATTAATATTTTTCAGCAATTAATCAGAAGTTAAAAAAAACTACATGATCCTTTCTCTTCATATATCTCTTTACCCTTTTACTCTAAATCTAATGTTTCTTTTTCCAATATAATCATTCATCAAATTAACCCCATTTTAAATTCTAAAACTATACAACTCATACATTAAATCTTCAGTTTCTTTATATTTCAGATAATAAATTTAAATTTGAATCAGGTTCTTTTTTAATATCAAGTTTCCTTGCTTGCATGATTACTATTTTTTTAAAAAAAATTGGCATGAAATTTTATGCATTTATAAAATTTTGAAAATTAGGAGACGTGGACGAATAGGAACTCATATAAACCACATAAGGAAAAATAACAAAAATAAAAAAATATGGATAAATAAATATTGTTTGTGGCGCTCAATTTCGAAACACAGACACAGCATAATCAACGCCTTCAACACAGACAAAACACGAAACGTCGTTGTCATTCCCTCACGAGAACCATCTATGCAGGCAGTTCCAACTACTCCACGTTTATACACATACAATGTCTTTTCCTTAGACAAACCACAACAAAGCTTTGACTAACAATATGTTATCCCTTCGCGTTCCTTCTACATCCTTCGACTTCCCGCGGTTTCACGCGGGAGATCTAGAGCGGAGATGGAAGCTAGGTAGAGACTCCTTCCTCTCTTTCTCACATCGTAGAGGTTTCGGACTCGGAGTAAGCTCTGCCAAATCGGAGACGGCGCCGTTTACCGCCGCGGAGGAAGAAGCTCTGCCGGAAGGACTCCAGCCGGAGCTCATGCCGAAGCACGTGGCGGTTATAATGGATGGGAACGGGAGATGGGCGAAGAATAAAGGTCTTCAACCTTGGGACGGTCACAGAGCAGGCGTTGAAGCTTTGAGAGAGATCGTTGAGCTTTGCGGTAAATGGGGTATTCAAGTCTTAACAGTTTTTGCATTCTCGACAGATAACTGGATTAGACCAAAGGTATGGGACCTAGTTTGAATCTTCCCTTATTTTATTTGCTCTGTACACGAAGTCTCAAATCAAATACTCGATATGGTTTCTAATGTCTCTTGCAGATTGAGATTGATTTCTTGTTGAATTTGTTCGAGAGAACGCTCAAATCAGAGCTTGAGACCTTAGCCAAGTAAGTATAATCTGTTGAGAAAATCTATGAACTAAACTCCAAGAAACCAAAAGAAAATCATATAAGCATGGTGAGTGGTAAGGCGGACTTAGAAATTAAGATGTTAAGCACCCCAGATTTGAAATCTATCATCGCAGATATACTCCTAAGAAACTTGATTACTAGTGTTAGAGCATCAGCATTAGTAAACTTGTAGGTAAAATTCACCATTTGGATTTTCTTATTTTTTTTTTATAATTTTTTTTTTCGTTTGTTTTTTAAAAAAATAATAAAAAATTAAATGAATTGACCAATAGCAGATCACCACATGGCGTGGGGTCCGCTGAACAGTCAAGACCCATGTTCATGCGGGAGAGGTGGGACGAGCCAAAATTTTCACTTTTCCTTATTATAATATTTTTTTCTCGTAAAACGTGCAACCATCCCCCTCTTGAACCTCCAATACTGATGGCCTGAGAGTTTGTTTATGAATAACTTACAATTTTAAAATCCGTATTTATACTCCTAAGAAACTTGATTTTTTTTTCCATTTGTATTTTTTACTAAAGACAGTTTTACTGGTTCACGTTGTAGGATCTAATAGTGTTGTAACATGAATCCATCAACATTTTTCTTTTCTTTTTCTGATTTTTTTTCTCAATATTCTTGAGTGTAGGAACAATGTTCGGATATCAATAATTGGAGATTCATCGAAGCTTCCAAAGTCTCTTCTAAAAGTGATAAACGAAGTTGAGGAAGTCACAAAGAACAACACGAGACTTCAGCTAATCGTAGCCGTTGGTTACAGCGGGAAGTACGATGTTCTACAAGCGTGTAGAGGCATTGCGCAGAGGGTGAAAGATGGTGAGATTGAAGTTGAGGAGATAGACGAGAGACTCATTGAGCAAGAACTCGAGACCAACTGTACTGAGTTTCCTAATCCGGATTTACTGATAAGAACGAGTGGTGAGCTAAGAGTGAGCAACTTCTTGTTGTGGCAATTGGCTTATACTGAGCTCTTCTTTGCTCAAGAACTCTGGCCTGATTTTGGGAGAAGCGGTTTTATCGAAGCCTTGATGTCGTTTCAGCAGAGACAGCGACGCTTTGGTGGTCGAAAATCTTGAGTTTCTTTTGCAAACGAACAAGTTTGTGTAATTACAAACTGAATATGATATATAATAAATGGACATTTATACCTTAAGATCTAGGTAACTTTTGAGATCTACATTTTCTTGTGTTGCAAGCAATCATTGTATCTAACAATAGGCTTTGCTAAACCAACGTTGTTTCTTGTGCTACAAGATATCTTTTTCAGTAACAACTGATGCAGACGTAAATAACTCAGGAATAAATGCAAACCAAAATAACATCATACAGTATCTCACTATTGAAAACAGTAAAGTTACTTCTGCAGCTAAAACAGTAATTTGATAGGAAAAATCAAATGAACATAACATAGTACACAACGGAACAGGGCAGAGGGACATAACATACCACAGGATCACATGTGTTCAAACCCGACAGCCAAATCGTCTTTCCCTGTGTTGATACGAAATCAAGGCCTCTAGAACCCTATCCTTGTCAAAATCAGGCCAAAGGACCGGTGAGAAGAAGAGCTCAGTATAAGCGAGCTGCTACAATAAGAAGTTACTTATCCTCTGTTCTCCACTTGTCCTAATCAAGAGATCTGGACTTGGGAACTCAGTACACTTTGTCAGAAGCTCTCTCTCGAATAGCGTCTCGTTCACGTCTTCCTCTCGGATCAAACCTTGTTGTGATTTCTTCACAATGCTCTTGCAAGCTTGCAAGATGTCAGATCTCCCGCTGTAATCTATGGCCAAGATGAGATGCTTCTTCTTGTAGCTCTTTGTTGCTTCCTCTGTCTCTTTGATTGTTCCGAGGAGAGATTCAGGTATCTTTTCAAGATTCCCAATAACAGAAACTCGGATCTCCTCACTATAACAATCAATATTCTTGGTAAGAAAATGAGCTGATAGAAACTTCACTAGGAAATTAAAAAAAAAACTTAAATGAGCAAAACTTGATTGAAACAAGTATCCATTTCAAAGTTTATTTCTTGATTATGTGAATGAATAATTTATAACTAAAACCCATATTTATATATATATATATATTTTTTTTTTTTTTAAAAAAACTCGAATTTTTGTACTGGTGTACCCAAATTTAAGTTATTTTCAGAATTAAACATTTACTATGTTGTTGACAAAAAAAAACATTTACTATATGCTAAATAAACTCACCATTATATACATACCTTTGAAAAAAATGTATCTTTGACTTGAGGTAATGTTGGAACAAAGACATCAAGCATTTAACTTCGATCTGAGTGGTTAAGTTGTAAGACAGAATGAAGTTGAAGTACTCTAGGACAAACAAAAACAATACGTACGAAAATTATCTCACCTTGTGTCTCCCCCAATTCTCAGTGGAGAAAGCAAAAGCTGTCACTGTTTCTATCCCTAGTTTGAAACAAAGCTGAGCAAACTCTATAAGCCGTTTGGCTCCGGCCTCATGACCTTGTGACGTCAGCAATCCGGCCCGTTCGGCCCATCTCCGGTTTCCATCCATTATCACTGCCACATGTCTCGGCATCTGCTCTCTCATAAGCCCTTTAGGTGTCTCCTCCTCCCCGACCACATAAGTTCCCTCGTCACTACAAAAACAAAACAAGAACAATTCTAGGTAAAAAAAAAAAAAACAATTCTAGGTTAAATGAATATATTAGTGGGAAATTTCGTCAAATCAGATAGCTATATTTTACATCTCCTTTTCGTCTTTCAGTGAATTTTTAGCTGGTGCCCATGGTCGGAGACACGAATGTACAAGAAAAGTGAGAAGAGACAGAAAGCAACATAGCAGAGGCAACATCGTAGTGTGTGAGAAGAGTAATTAAGTGTAGCAAATGCTACGTTGTTTCTAGCTTGACTATATAATATGTGAATATCATCTTAAGACTAAGTTCCAATGACTGGCTCTAGTTGTTTCTCTCACATTTTAAAAACTTTTCCAAAGTCAGACTTTGTTCTTCTTTTTTCTTGCTAAATTTTGCGATTAGGTGAAACAGTACAGAGTAAGTAAAATGATTAGTTGTTTCGTTGAATTAAGTAATGCTCAATTAATGAAGTTGTCAGTTTCTTAATAAATTGAGTTACCTACCATTCAAACTATACTGCCTTCATCAAAGATATCAAATAGGCCGCATGCTTAAATCATGAGGTAGTTCTAGATATTTAAAAAATAGCTCAAAATTTGTCGGTTGTAGAATTGTATATTCAATACTTCTCATAATTTTTAATAGAATAATAAATCAGTAAAAAGTTGATTATAATTAGTAAACGTAAAAAAAAAACGCAAAGTATAGGTTTGAAACAATCGGACCACTACTACACTTGGAACAGTTTATTTGTGAGACATGAAATTGAAATTCTAAACTCGTAGACCGAATCGCCTCTGCCTTTGCTGATACCAAGTCAAGGCCTCAAGATACTCAGCCTCACCAAAGTCAGGCCACAGAACGTTAGGAAAGTAGAGCTCAGTGTAAGCAGATTGCCATAAGAAGAAATTACTGATCCTTTGCTCTCCGCTCGTTCTAATCAATAGGTCAGGGTTTGGGAACTCACTACAGTTTGTCATCAACTCTTTCTCCATCACATCCTCATCAATGTCCTCTACTTGGATCAGCCCGTTTTTCGCTTTTTCCGCAAGACTTTTGCAAGCTTGTAAGATATCAAATCTTCCACTATAGTCTATTGCTATAATGAGATGCTTCTCTTCATAGCTTTTTGTAGCTTCCTCTGCTTCTGTTATCAAATCTAGAAGCGACTGGGAGATTTTTGTCCGGTTTCCAATCACTGAGATCTTGATTTTATCACTGAATATATAAGAGAATGACAACAGTTTCTGTTAGTTTCTTTTTTAAAGTAAAATTTTCAGTCTCATCCTGTTTTGTTTGTTTGTTGAAGAATGTGTTTTCTTATTTTACAAACTAGTTTCCTTCTTACTCTTTTATAGTGTTTTCCTTAAATAATAAAACCTGAAAACTCTACAAATAGCTTTTTTAAAAGGATGAAAACAAGATGTTGTGTACCTTCGGAAGAAAGACATCTCAGACCTCAAATGTTTCTCAAATAAGGCCATCAGGCCTTTAACTTCATCCTGATCAAAGAAAAGAAAAACCGAGTTAAAACGAAATGTAAGAAACGTTCTTGCAACGTTTTGCAAAAGTTATCTTCCATTTTCATCATCACCTCGGGTCTTGCCCAATTTTCGGTGGAGAAAGCAAAAAGTGAGACAGTGTTTATGCCCATAGCAAAACAGTCCTTAGCATTCTCTATAAGCCTCCTGGCTCCGGCCTGGTGACCTTCCGATGTTCCTAGCCCTCGTTTCTCCGCCCAACGTCTGTTTCCGTCTAATATAATCGCCACATGCTTTGGCAGTCTCCGTCGTTTCTCTTCCTCTCCCATTGTACCACTACAAAATAGTTAAGAACAAACAAAATTAAAGGCTTTCTAGTAGAAACATGCATGCAGTTATAGTACAAAGTTTAAGATCCAACGTGATATATTATTTATTTATTTTAAGTTCCTAATGTTTCAATTTTTCATTTATGTAAATTCAAATCAATCAAATGTTTGCATTTGATAAATTAAATTACCACAGAGAGGGTATATATGATTTTTTTTAAATTTGTGGAATGTTAAAACATACAACTTGAAATGTGATGAAGTAAAATAGATTAAAATGTGTCGCCATTGATTTTAAAGATAAATAACCACGTATATAGTTCTATCAATATGGAATCACAAACTTCACTTAGAGAAAACTCTAATTGCTTGGATAAATAAAAAAAAATTCTTAATTAGGTTGGGTGAGAACATACCTAATTTGCTACGCTGAAATACAGGCGTTGGAATACATGGTTAGTTAAAACTATAATTAAAGAACTCATAACACTAAAACTGTGATTTACAGAAGCAAACGTACCGTTTCTCGTTATTCTCCTCCTCATCATCGAGTTGAGAAGCTGCGAGTTTAATGAATCTGAGGATGTTTTTGAAGGAGAGATGAACACTTAGACGCCGAGTTATGAAGAGGATAGGGATGACAAGAAGAGCAAGACAAGTAAAAACAACAGAGACTATATACACCATTTGTTCCATTTCTTTTCCCTTTTTTCCGAATTGAAGCACTCGGCTATGAAATTAGAGAGCTTCGAGTTCAAAGACGCTCATGATCAATGTAACGCTTTGTCTCTCTCGCTCTCGGGCTCTTCTACACAAAGACAGGTCATACGTATTTAAGGTTAATAAGAACTTACGACACTTGAAAATTGCTAAATGGCTTCTCACGTGATTACTAGCTAAAAGGATTGGTATCCCAACTATCTACAAAACTGGGGTAATATTAAGTAAGGTGTTTTATAAAAAAGTATGATGTTAACATTTTACATTCGTCAGGAAAACAATAAAAGGTATGAATCGTATAGATATAGCCATGCTCTTACATTTTGTTTGCATGTTTACAGAGACGTGCCAACATTTATGATTAAGAAAAACGGTTGAAAATAAAGTATCTCAACACTTCTTATAAGACTACAATAATAAACACTATATTACATAGAAAAACCATAAAAATACCAACAAGCTAAATATACATTCTAATAATTTTTTTTGCTTTTATCTATATACAAAGTTTGTAGAGGAGTGTTTTTTCTTCCCAACTTAATAAAAAAATAAAAATCAACGAGCACCCTTGTTTTTAGTAGAGATGTTTAGGCAAGCACTCAAGGTTAGTTGAAAATTGAAATGCACACCAGCATGATGTTCCAATAATACGGCCCAAAAACCGTAAGGCTGTTGATTATTATTTTTGCACTTGCTTTTTATCGAAAAAACTCGTGTTTGGAGCTCTCTTAAATATAAAAAACATGTAACAGAGTGCTGATAAATATAAAATCAGTACGTATATAACGACGGCAAAACAACTAATTAAATCAATGTTGATATTTTTTAAAATAATATTTATTGCTTTAAAATGTTGTATTTTCTAAAATAATAGTTATTACTTCTTGGTTGCACCTCTAGAATTGTACGCCATCTTTTCTCTCTTTATAAAGATGTCATTCAACAGCAACGACCATGCATGGTGTGTATCTTAAATATGATTTATCAAAATAAGAAGTAACACTGAACATGAAATCGAAACCAAAAGGTTGTTTTCTTCATTTTTGTAACAGAAAATACATATATTTCAATTGTTTTAAAGTTGATTCTTTGTTGGTGAAAATAACCTCTTATTTCTTTTTTTGGTTTGGTTTGTATGTAATAGTATATACTTGAAGGTTCCCTTTTGTTTGAAATGAAATCTCGGAACATTTCTTTCAGATTATGTAGCTTGATTCTCTTTGTTCACACTAGTGGTTAGTTCTTATGGTGTAAGAGTTAGGCTTTGTGTTTTTTTTTTGGTATTCAGATGATCGCTGAGTTAGGGTTCATCTCCACTCGAACTGTTTTAGCTCATAATGACCTCACTTGTTTCTTGAGATTCTTCTTCTTAACTAAGTTGACTTGAAGCTGAGGTACTTCTTTAGCTGGCATCGGTGAAGCAGAAGATACTAGAGCCTTAACACGAAAGTATCACAGAGGTACCACTCTTTCTGTTGGGTAGTCTATAGATTCCTTTCTCTGTTTTGATCTTACACGTTCATTAATTAGTTTATCGTTTCTCTTTCTCTTAGGTTTCAGATAATCTGAATGAAGCTACAGTGTTGAGGCGGACCATTGTGGTGAATACATACAAAGAGAGAAGAGGAAGATGATGATACATAGCAGAACTGATATCAAGTGATGATAAAAGTTTCTAGGTGAGATCACAACGACATAGAGGATAAGTAGGTATTATTATGTATATTTATATAAAGTGGTAATGCTTGACATGATCAATACTTTCTCAGTTGATAGCTAGAATATAGGAGATAAGATTTGTTGATCATTAGCTTACACACATATGTTTTCTCTGTACTGTATATGTGGATCTTATTCTACAGTTTTATCTTAACATTTACAGATTGTTTACAGGAAAACACATAGTAGATACAGTTCTAGACAGGAGACCGCTTCTTGAGTTTCTTAGCTATTCCTGCAAAGTACTTACCATGGTAATTTGCCTGCTGAATCTCCAGCTCTGTCGGCTCGCGCGACCCATCAGCTGCATAAGTCCCTGAGCCATACGGTGAACCACCTTTCACTTCTCCCATCTCATACATCCCTTTACCAAATGTATACCCCAACGGCACAAATATCATCCCGTGATGAGCCAGTTTCGTCACTGCCGTCAATCTACACACAACAAAACCAACTACTTAGCTCATGGCCGTCTGTCTTTTTAGCATGTGTAAGTGAAGTGGTCGAACTAAGGTCTAAAATCAAATGTATAAACTAAGGTCTAAATTTTTAAATTTCCTATATACTTCTAAATTTAATGCTTATATATAACTTCAAATTTTATGTGCTACTCATGACTATGTTCTTACGCAGTGAGTTCTTGGCCTCCACCGTGGAAACCCGTACTCCAAAAGATTCCAGCAGGTTTCCCAGCGAGTGCCTGTTTAGTCCAGAGATCATTTGTGTTGTCAAAGAACGTCATGACCTGTGATGCCATCACTCCAAACCTCGAAGGGAAACCAAACATAAACCCATCTGCTTCACCTAGTTGCTCCCCTTGAATCTCCGGCACATCGTCTGGTCTTGGAGCTGCCTGCACTTTCTGAAGTATCTTCTCAGGTAACGTCTCAGGTATTTGCCAGAGCGTTGCCTCCACGTCTGGAACTGAGTTTGCTCCTCGGAGAACCTCACGTGCCATTGTCTCAACGTGGCCGTGCAACGAATAGTACCTACGAGGAAAACAGTAAACCGGATTTTTCGTCAAAACCAAACCGGTATTACAAAACCGGTACAGAATCTTGACCGGATAGATTCAAGACTCACACTATATATATCTTGGTGATCGCCATAGCTTAAGAGCTCGAAGCTTCGGGCACAAGCTAGGATTCTTGTCCCTGAGACAAAGACTTCCAAGATCTGTTACTTTATTATAATCAGACTCATATATAATAAGTTTTAAGAACATAACTAACCTTTTCTGGAAGAGCCAAGCCAAGGAGGAGAGGAAACACGTTGAGGTTCGGAGTTAGCTTCGGGAATGATCAGGAACAGATGAAGTCTATGAATGTGTTCAGGTTTGGTGAAGATGATGATCTTCTTGGAAACTATAGCTGACATGGCTAGAGTTTGACCGACCATTTTTATTCGATCACATGGGCTGATCTTCAAGCCCAATTAACTAAGAAATGAGTTCAGAGTCCAGGCAATCGCTGAAACTACTTGTGACTAATATAAATAAACAATCATCATATATTTAGAACTGTCTTCTTAGTAGACATGGACATTTTATCTGGATCCGACCCGAAACCAACTTGAAAAAGTGCGGTTTGAGTAGTAACCGAACTTATCAGTTTACTTTATTGGATCTTCTTGTAGAGGATCCACAGATCTTAGATCCGACCTAACCCGAACCCTAGATCCGATAGAGTATCCGAAATATCCAAAACTTCTGATATATGTTATGTATATATATATATATTAGTATATTTTTTGGTATTATGAGTCTTATTTTAAGTTTCAGATTTTGGTTTTCAGGTAAAATTTTGGGTTTCAAGTAAAATTTTAGATTTTAAAAATATAATTCGGATAATCAAATAAAATTTTGGATATTTTATGTCTTCAGATCAGATTTTGGATAAAATTTCAAATATTTTTTGGTTATTTAAATATTTTTAGGTATTTTTTGTGTGTTTTGGATATATTTTTGGGCCGGACTCGACATGACCTAAACCGAACCCGATCCAAAACCGACCCAAACCGATAAATTCTAATTATTCTATTAGGTCCAATTATTTAAGAACTCAACCGATTCGGACGCGAAAAATTCTAATTACCCTATTATGGCTAAATATTTAAGAACATCCCTATTAGTGAAACTTAGAGGGGGGGGGGTTGATTCCCTAATTGATTATTATTATATATTTTCCTTTGATTTAAAAAAAAATAACCGAACCAATTTGGGGCCGCCACGTAGCATGTGGCCCGTGAAGCAGTGATGAAACGGATTCACAAATAAGCACTCTTGCGAGACAGGTTCATAAAATCAATGGGGTCCATGAATATTATAATATTTTTTAAAGAAAATGTGAGAGATTGGAGAGTGAATCCCTAATGAGGGTGCTCTAAGATCTGAATGACTCCGACGCGACATGACCTGATACGAACCCGATCCGAGGAACCGAATGCCCATACCTACTTGTTAGTATTTTATATTAAAACAATATTTTAGTAAATGATCAAAATTATTTGGTTAGCTAAATTTTTTGAAATTTTAGAAGTTACATGCTGTTACAAATCTGTTTATTTAGCTTATCTCATATTTAAGAATTGTTAAGTAAACAAATAATTTAGAGAAATGGTCTCAAATAGCATAAACCATGTTCTTTGTCGAACAATGTTGTATTTAATAGCTGATAAAAATCATTATTTGATATATTATTTTTTTATAAAAATTAAATATACATAGATAATATAGAAATAATTTCAACATTTGTTAAATAGTTTCAAAATATGTACTTTTATATATACCTTATTTTTGATTAAAATCTGAAAATATACTTTTTAAATTATACTTTATTATATGCGCTAATACATTATTACTCTAATTTTCATTAAAAATTTAAAACTTGGGAATTAAATTTAAAATATGAAAGTATAATTATTTATATTTTAGATGATATAACTTCTTATTTTAAATAACAAACTGATACAAAATATATTGAAGTTTATTTCCCAAATATAAAATTTACACATCATCGTTGAAATCAAAGAGAATCTATTTTAAAATATCATACATGAAAAAAAAGTCATGACTTATATTTTAATAGACAAGATAGATATATAGTTGATCTCTTTCCTTATATTAACGATAGAATCATTTTGGTCCACATACAATTATGCCATTTGGGAAAATATCAAAATAATTTATGGTAATACACTGATTATAATTAACAAGTAAGGAAACGAATCAATGAAATTTTGATTCTACTACTCATACATCATTTTAAGTTAATCTCCATTGAAATTGAAAAACTAGAGTAACGTATAATTCATTGCATAGGAAAAAGATGGTGAAACGAGCATCTTCCTTTTGTCTCTTCTCATGTGTGGTTGTCTTGTTACTCAGTTTAGTCTCAGCAGTCACAGATAATGGTCAAGATAAACAGGTATATTAGTTTTTATAACAGTAAAATATATATATTTTGGTTCTACCAATCACGTTTTATTATACATGTCGAAGATAACGATGATCATATTTGATGAAGGTGTACGTTGTTTACATGGGATCACTTCCGTCTCGACCGGACTACACACCAATGTCGAATCACATAAGCATTCTTCAAGAAGTCACTGGAGAAAGGTGCGATTAAATTAAATCATTCTCTAATCATAATTTAGTTACAATTAACCCACGGTAAAAAGATTCTAACAAGTGTTACACATATATATATACTCTAGTTCGATGGAAGATCGTTTGGTGAGAAGTTATAAGAGGAGTTTTAATGGGTTCGCTGCCCGGCTCACCGAGTCAGAACGAGAACAAGTAGCCAGTGAGTGATCTTCAATCGAGAAACACTTATGCTGAAATGGTATTGGTATTGGTATTATAAAGGTTAGATAACTAATTAAAACCATTTTATGTTTTGGATAGAAATGGAGGGAGTTGTGTCTGTGTTCCCGAACACGAAGTTACAACTCCAAACAACTGCGTCTTGGGACTTCCTGGGGTTAAAGGAAGGAAAACATACAAAGAGAAACTTGGCCATAGAGAGTGATACTATCATCGGTCTTATTGACAGTGGGATATGGCCAGAATCAGAGAGCTTCTCGGACAAAGGCTTTGGTCCTCCTCCAAAGAAATGGAAAGGTGTTTGTTCCGGCGGCAAAAACTTCACTTGCAACAAGTAATTCTCCAAATTAAATGTCTCTTTTGTAATATTACTATTGTTTATAACATTGCTGTTTACAAATGTATTTTCAGCAAGTTGATAGGAGCAAGAGACTACACAGGCGAAGGCACCAGGGACCTCGACGGCCACGGTTCACACACATCATCCACGGCTGCTGGAAACGCAGTCGCGGGTGCAAGCTTCTTTGGAATCGGCAATGGAACCGCTAGAGGCGGTGTTCCAGCTGCTAGGATTGCTGCTTACAAAGTTTGCAAACCAACAGGGTGTCCCGCAGAATCTATACTGTCTGCATTCGACGATGCGATAGCAGACGGTGTAGATGTCATTAGCATATCCATGGGGGATGACAATGCCAAGACGTATGAGAAGGATTCCATTGCAATTGGGGCTTTTCACGCTATGGCCAAAGGGATTCTCACCGTGAATTCAGCCGGCAACAGCGGTCCGGATCCGAAGTCAGTCGTGGGCGTCGCTCCGTGGATACTAGCTGTTGCTGCCAGCACAACCAACCGTGAGTTTGTCACCAAAGTTGTTCTCAAAAACGGCAAGACACTTTCCGTAAGTAACAAGTAACACTCTCATTCATGTCATAATAGTATCTTCTTTGTCCCTTTCAGACTTATATGTTTTTGTCTTAACAGGGGAAATCAGTGAATGCTGTTGATCTGAAAGGAAAGAATTATCCTCTTGTGGAAGGAGCTTATGGAGAAAAACTTCAGGTCAAGGGAAAAATATTGGTGAACAGAGATTTAGGTAGTTCAGAAGTAGCTGTTGCAACTATAGTTGAAGACTACAAAAACTATGCCTCCACTACCCTTCGTCCCCTCTCTGCTCTATCACACGATGACTTTTATTCTCTCCTCTCTTACGTGAACTCCACAAAGTAACAAAATATATTATTTTACATATTTCTCTAGATTCTTCTTCTTTGTCCAAATATATCTGTGTTTTTTTTTCAAACAGGTCCCCACAAGGCACTGTTCTAAAAACTGAGGCTATCTTTAATCAGAAAGCTCCTAAAGTTATTTCATTCTCTTCTCGCGGCCCAAACCCTATCGCTGTAGACCTTCTCAAGGTGATATATATATATTATACTTTATTTGCATTTCAAACAAAAAATATTTTATACTATTATCTTTTATTTTTCTTTAATGGCTTTTCTTTTACCGGTTTAATAAACAAATGTTGAAATGTAGCCGGATATAACAGCACCAGGAGTGGAGATTCTTGCTGCATATTCACCTTTGAGTTTAGCAAGTTCAGATAAAGGCGAGCAAAGACATGTGAAGTACTCTGTTCTATCCGGAACTTCAATGGCATGTCCACACATTGCAGGCATTGCTGCGTACATCAAGACTTTTCATCCTGAATGGTCTCCTTCCATGATCCAATCTGCCATCATGACAACCGGTAACCAAACCTGAGTTCCACCTTGTACCACAAGTAACCTTTTTGCTTATATATATATGTTCTTATTTAGTCTCTTCATTAACATTTGTAGCTTGGTCGATGAATGCTTCTGAAACTGGGGTTGCATCAACCGAGTTCGCTTATGGAGCTGGCCATGTCAACCCAATAGCCGCTATAAATCCTGGACTTGTTTATGAACTGAACAAAGCAGACCACATCTCCTTCCTCTGCGGCTTGAACTACACTCCAAAAACCCTTAAACTCATTACCGGTGAAGCTGTCACTTGCAGTGGCAAAACCTTACCAAGAAACCTCAACTATCCTTCAATGTCGGCTAAACTTGCTAGATCAAATAGCTCCTTCACTGTGACTTTCAACAGAACCGTCACTAACCTTGGTACCCCCAACTCTACATACAAATCAAATATTATCTTGAATCATGGGTCTAAGCTCAGTGTCAAGGTTTCGCCTAATGTCCTGTCTATGAAGTCGGTGAAGGAGAAGCAGTCTTTCACCGTGACTGTTACAGGCAGCAGACTCGACCCAAAACTGCCATCGTCTGCTAATCTAATCTGGTCAGACGGCGCACATAACGCGAGAAGCCCCATTGTTATTTATACTAGTGACTGATGAGACCACATGCATTCAGATCTTTCTAGCATCATGATTATCACTTCCATCACAATAAATCACCGTTGTTGTTGTTGTCACCGTTTTTGTTGTTGTTGTTGTTGTTGATGATATGTTTTTCTGTTAAAAAGTGTTCCATGTCTAGCCA